AGGGATGCGCAGGTTAGGGTGGATTGGCCGTGCTAAATTGTCCCATAGCGTCCAGGGATGCGCAGGTTAGCGTGGATTGGCCGTGCTAAATTGTCCCATCGCGTCCAGGGATGCGCAGGTTAGGGTGGATTGGCCGTGCTAAATTGCCCCATAGTGTGCAGGGATGTACATGTTAGGTTGGATTGGTTGTGCTAAATTGTCCCATCGCGTCCGGGGATGTGCAGGTTAGGGTGGATTGGCCACGGGAAATGTAGGGTTACAGAGATGAGGTAGAGGTCGGTGAAATGGCCTTCCGAGGGTTGGTGTGTGGCTGAATGGCCTGCTTCGGCACGTTAGGGATTCTATGATTTCCGAAGCCTTGTTTTCCATTAGAACAGAAGGCCTTGTCAGCGAAGGTGGTGCGGGTACACAGAGTGAATGAAGCACAGAGGTCCGAGCAGGAAGTGGGGTTGGAGGACATCACAGAGATAGGGCGGGATGAGACCATGATTTGAGAAACAAAAAGGACGAGAATTTCAAAATCAATTTACCAGGAGCCAAAGTATGTCAGTAACAACAGGACAAATAGGGGAATGGCACATGGTGACAGTCAGATTTCAAAAGTTAGGCCTGTACAAGAGTCCAAAATAAAAATAATTTGCGGGAATATAGAGAGCCCTGATGTTTGTAAGGCCGGAGGAAGTTACAGGGATACGGAGGGCTGAGGCCGCTGAAGGGTGAGGAAGGAGGATTTTAAAAATCGAGGCATTAACCAACAGATTAACTGTGGGTGTGTGACAGGTGAATGGTACAAGATGTGAGACAGGACACAGGGACAGCAGGGTTTTGCGATAACCCCGTGCTTCCTGAAGGAAATTAACCAGGTCATGAGCTGGGATAGTCAGAGCTCGAAGTAACAAAGGCATGGGGATAAGGGTTTTAGTGGGGGGGGAGCGCAGCTTTCAGTGGGTTCAGGCTGAAACAAGAAGTGGGGGAGACCAGGAGTGTCTCCCTAAGGCGAGGGTATGGAAGCTGCCTGAGTTGCAATACAATTGCAACATGTAAAAGACATTTGGAGAGGTGGATAAGGTAGGACAAGGTTAGAGGGATAGGGGCCAAGTGCAGGTGAATGGGGCTAGTTCAGGTTAGGAAACTGAATGGTCAATTTCCATGACACTGTGACCTTGGGTTAACCCACGAACCGCGACTGAAAGCCTCGCATGAGAGGGAAAAGAAGAGGAAAAACCAGTTTAAGGACCTCATTGTCTCTCCACATGTCCCCTACCAAACAGGAAGGACGATTTACCTTCCACCTTATGGGCGTAGTTGTCTAAAGGCTGGTATCCGCTCAGGGTCTGTGGAGGTGTACGAAATAGCCATTTGAGATAAAACCTTTGGATTATCCAGGTTCCCCATGGATCTGAGGAGTACCATGTCCTACACGAAATAATCTCTCACCAAGGAGTGATAAGCATGCTCACTCTGGTGGCCCAGATGGGTCATTACTGCACTGGGTACCGCACTCTGGTGTCATAGAACATTGAACAGTACAGCACAGTACAGGCCCTTTGGCCCACAATGTTGTGCCGACCTATTGTCCTATCCCATGGGGTAGCGTGCTCAAGCCCTAAGCCAGGCCCTGCCCCAGTCCTTCGGTGTAAAACTGAGGCTGAAGAGGCGGTGTCCTTTCATCTGAGCCAGGAGGACTGTGTTCAAATCCCAGCTACTCCAGAGGGGCGCAAATACATCTCTGAAAAAGTTGACTAGGAATTGTCTGAAACGGAGATCGATACCCTCAGTGCTGAGGGAGTGCAGCACTGTCAGAGAGGTCTTTCAGATCAGATCTTCAGCATGCTCACGTCTGTGCATATTTAAGAGGCGTTTCAAGTCAGCAAGTCGACAGATTGAGGGTAAGGTAGATGTTAAGAGCAGTAAATTAGAAAGAAAGGATAGGCAGAGACGGGTAAATGAACACAGTGGTACTAATGGGCTAACTTGTCTGCAGTGGGTAAGACAGATGGGCTTAGAGCCTGGATCAATACATGGGACTATGATGTTGTGGCCATTACAGAGACTTAGTAGAGAGAGAGAGAGAGAGACAGGACTAGCTGCTCAGCGTTCCTGGGTTTCGTAGTTTTCGACGCGATAGAGTGGAAGGTAAAGGAGGTGGAGGATTTGCATTACTACTCAGGAGAACGTCACGTCTGCACTCAGAGAGGACATACCTGAGGGCTCATCCATTGAGGCAGAATGGGTAGAGCTCAAAAAATAAGATGGGTGCAACCTCTCTGATAGGATTAAACCCCCCTAACAGCCACCAAGACATTTAGAAACAAATATTAGGCAGATTATATGTAGGCACATCTGGAGTATTGTATCCAGTTCTGGTCGCCTCATTACAGGAAAGATGTGGAAGTGTTGGAAAAGGTGCAGAGGGGATTTACCAGGATGTTGCCTGGATTGGAGGGAAGGTCTTATGAGGAAAGGTTGAGAGAGCAAGGGATTTTCTTTTTAGAACGATGAAAGATGAGAGGTGACTTGATAGAGGTGTACAAAATGATCAGAAGTGTAGATAGAGTGGACAGCCAGAGACTTTTTCCTAGGGTGGAGGTAGCTATTACGAGGGGGCATAGTTTTAAAGTGAGTGGAGGTAGATATAGGGGAGACGTCAGAGGTAGGTTCTTTACTCAGAGTGTGGTCGGGGCGTGGAATGCATCGCCGGAGAGGGTAGTGGAGTTGGCCTCATTAGGGGCATTTAAGCGGCTATTAGATAAGCATATGGATGATAGTATAAGGTAGCGGTGGAGGTTAGATAGACCTTAGGATTAGGGTAAAAGTTCGGCACAACATCGTGGGCTGAAGGGCTGTACTGTGCTGTACTGTTCTATGTTCTATGTTCTAGATGCAATAGAAACAAGGTTGTCATAGTGGGGGACTTTAACTTTCCAGTATTGACCGGAACTCCCAGAGAGCAAGAGGCTCAGACAGAGCAGAATTTGTTAAGTGCATCCAAGAGGGTTTCTTGAAACAGTCTGTGGGTAGATCAACTAGAGGAGGGGCCACACTGGACCTTGTATTGGCTAATGTGCCTGGCGAGGTCACTGACCTCTCAGCGGCAGTGCATTTTGGAAACAGCGATCACAACTCCTTAAGTTTTAAGATAGCTATGAACAAGGATAAGTCAGGTCCTTGTGGGAAGGTACTAAATCGGGGGGTGGGGAGAATTACATCAGTATTAGGCAGGAGCTGGGGATTGTTAATTAGGACGAACTGCTAGCAGGCAAGTCTATATTTGACCGGTTCAAGAACTGCTGTGGGGAGAGTTCAAGACTGGCATGTTCCAGTCTGGAGGAGGGACAAGGCAAGGGACCCTCACACAATGAGGGAGGTTGTGAATTTCGTGAAAAGGGAAAAAGAAGCATATGTAAGGTTTAGGAAGCTAAAATCGGACAGGGCCCGCAAGGAATATATGGATGGCAGGAAAGAGCTCAAGTAGGGAATTAGGAGACCAGGAATGTGCCATGAATAGGTAAGTAGGGTTAAAGAGAATCCCAAGTCATTCTACAGATGCATTAAAAACAAGAGGATAACTAGGGAGAAGGTAGGACCACTCAAGGATAAAAGGAGGGAACTTGTGCTTGGAGGCAGAAGATATGGGTGAGATCCTGAGTGAGTACTTTGCATCGGTATTCACCCAGGAGAAGATCAATAAAGAAGTAGTGTTGTGTCCCTTGGAGAGCATTAAGGTGGATAAGTCCCCAAGGCCTGATGGTATCTACCCCAGGTTACTGAGAGAGGCAAGAGAGGAGATTGCTGGGGGTCTTTACCAAGATCTTGTGTCCTCGCTAGCCACTGGAGAGGTCCCAGAGGAATGGCGAGTGGTTAATGCTGTTCCTCTGTTTAAGAAGGTAGCTAGGGATAATCCAGGAAACTATAGACCAGTGAGTCTCACATTGGTGGTTGGGAAGCTATTGGAGAGAGTTCATAGGGATAGGATTTACGCACATTTGGAAAAAGCATGACCTAATTAGGGACAGTCAGTATGGCTTTGTGCAGGGCAGGTCATATCTTAATAATGTGATTGAATTTTTCAAGGAGGTGACGAAAGTGATTGATGAGGGTAGAGCAGTCGATATTGCCTATATGGATTTTAGTAAAGCTTTCGACAAGGAACCTCATGGTAGGCTCATCCAGAAGATTAAGATGCTTGGCATCCATGGTGACTTGTCTGCATGGATTCAGAATTGGTTCACCCATAGAAGGGAGAGGGTGTTAGTGGAATGGTGTTTTTCAAGCTGGACGTCTGTGATAGTGATGTTCCGTAGGGATCTGTACTGGGACGTCTGCTGTTTGTGATATATATAAATGACTTAGATGAAAACGTTCAATGGGTAAGTTAGTAAGTTTACAGACGATACAAAGATCAGTGGAGTTGTGGATAGAGTAGAAGTTTGTTAAAGGATACAGCAGGATGTAGACCAGTTGCAGATGTGGGGGGGGAAATGGCAGATGGAGTTTAATGGGGGTAAGTGTGAGATGCTGAGATTTGGGAGATCAAATGTTAAGGAAGAGTATACAGTAAATGGCAGGACCCTGAGTAGCATTGATGTACAGAGGGATCTTGGGGTTCAAGTCCGTAGCTCCCTGAAAGTGGCCCAAGTAGATAGGGTGGTAGAGAAGGTGTATGCCAAGCTCGCCTTTATTGGTCGGGGAATTGAGTACAAGAGTCAGGATGTCGTGTTGCAACTTTATAAGACTTTGGTCAGGCCGCACTTAGAGTATTGCGTTCAGTTCTGGTCGGCACGTTACAGGAAGGATGTGGAGGCTTTGGGAAGAGGGTGCAGAAGAGGTTTACCAGGATGCTGCCTGGATTAGAGGGTATGAGCTATAAGGGAGAGGCTCGAAAAACTCAGGTTGTTTTCTCTGGAGTGTCGGAGGCTGAGGGGAGACTTGATAGAAATCTATAAAATTATGAGATGCGTAGATAAGGAGGTGATAAAAGTGATTGATGAGGGTACAGCAGTCGATGTTGTCTATATGGATTTTAGGAAGGCTTTCGACAAGGTCCCTCATGGTAGGCTTTTCCCAGAGTTGAAATTTCTAATATTAGGGGGCAGGCATTTAAAGATGAGAGGGGGAAAGTTCAAAGGAGATGTGAGGGGCAAGTTTTTTTACACAGAGAGCAGAAGGAGTGTGGAACGCGTTGCCAGGGGATGGTGGTGGGGGCAGATATGAGAGGGGCGTTTAAGGGGCTTTTAGATAAGCACATGAATATGCAAGGAATGGAGGGAAATGGATCATGGGCAGGTAGAAGGGATTAGTCTAATTTGGCACATGTTTAGCCCAATTTTGTGGGCTGAAGGGCCTGTTCCTGTTCTGTACTGTTCTATGTTCTCTGAGTATTGGCAAAGGGTTGTTTGAGCTGTACAAGACATTGGTGAGGCCACATTTGGAGTACTGCATGCAGGATGGTCGCATTACTATACAAAGGATATTATTGAACTAGAAAGAGTGCAAAAAAGATTTACTAGGATGCGAGCTAGACTGGAAGATTTGAGTTATAAGGAGAGGCTGGGACTTTTTCAACCTGGAGCGTAGGAGACTGAGGGGTGACCTTATAGAGGTCTGTAAAATCACAGGAGGCATAGATAAAGTAGACAGCCGACAGTTTTTCCCTATGGTAGGGGAGTCTACAACTAGAGGGCATAGGTTTAAGGTGAGAGGGGAGAGATACAAGAGGGTCTGGAGGGACAATTTTTTCCACACAGATAGTACTGGGTGTCTGGAACGGGCTGTCAGAAGTAATGGTGGGTGAGTACAGTTTTGTCATTTAGGAAACATTTGGACAGGTACATGGATAGGATGGGTGTGGAGGGATATAGATCAAACGCAGGTAAATGGGACTAGATTAAATTGTGAAAACTGGGCAGTATGGGCAAGTTGGGCTGAAGGGCCTGTTTCCATGCTGTAAACCTCTACGACTCCATGGGTGAATACAATGAGCTCCTCTACTGTTGCAGGCAAAATATGTAAACAGTGCAGATTGGAAACATCCAGCTTATAAGGCCATGGTGGAAGAAGAGTTTAGGCCCGAAATGTCAGCCTTCCTGCCCCTCTGATGCTGCTTGGCCTGCTGTGTTCATCCAGCTCCACACCTTGTTATCTCAGATTCTCCAGCATCTGCAGTTCCTACTCTCTCTGGAATAACCTGATTGCATTTAGAGTTGTTCAGCACAGAATCAGACCCTTCGGTCCATCTCGTCCATGCCGATCAGATATCCTAAATTAATCTAGTCCCATTCGCCAGCATTTGTCCCCTATCCCTCTAAACCCTTCCTATTCATGTACCCATCCTGATGCCTTTTAAATGTTGTAATTGTACCAGCCTCCACCACTTCCTCTGGCAGCTCATTCCATACACACACCACCCTCTGCGTGAAAAAGTTGCCCCTCAGGTCCCTTTTAAATCTTTCCCCTCTCACCTTAAATCTATGCCCCTCTAGTTTTGGACTCACCCCCACCCTGGGGAAAGGACCTTGACTATTTACCAGATCCATGCCCCTCATGGTTTTATAAACCTCTATAAGGTCACCCCTCAGCCTCCGATGCTCCAGGGAAAATAGTCCCAGCCTATTCAGTCTCTTGCTACAGCTCAAACCCTCCAACCCTGGCAACATCCTTGTAAATCTTTTCTGGACCCTTTCGAGTTCCACAACATCCTTCCTATAGCGGAGACCAGAATTACACACAACACTCCAAACTTTGAGACACAGCAGTAGCTCTGGGCTCAGAGCTGAGGCGAGAGAGAATAAATACCACTCCAATCCCCCTCCTCCGAATGACGACAGTCTGTTTCGGTGTTCAAGGGAAGAGAGTGGGTGCTCAGTCAGTCAACTCTGAGCCTTTGTACATCCAGCCCAGAGAGCGTGAGGTGTCAGGAGATTGCGGGATGCAAGAATGGGGAGGCCCAAGTATAAAAAGACCAAGGCAGAGAGAATGCCAGCCTACTTACGATTCAACAATCCAGCCCTTCTCTTTACAGTAATAGTTAACGGACATTGGGAGACATCCAAATGCAGAGAATATTATAATGGAGGGATCTGGAAAACAAAACCATTAGGATGTCACATTAAAATGAGAAACCAACAACAGAAATTTGTCAGTAAAGCAATAAACACTAGTGAGTTTGCGGAGACACTGGCCTAGTGGATGTTATTGATAGACTCTTAATCCACAGATCCAGGTAACAATCGGAGACACGGATTTGAGATGGTGGAATTTTAACTCAATAAACATCTGGAATTGAGAGTCAAATGACGACGATGAAACTGGTGTCAATTGTCAGGAAAAATCCATCTCGTTCACTAGGGAAGTAAATTTGCTGCAAGGTATTGCATTTTGGTAAAACAAACAAGGACAGGACTTCTACTGATCCTTGACAAGGTTCCACATGGTTCACTAATTTGTAAACTTAGATCGCATGCAGAGTGAGCTTGCCAATTGGATACCAAATTGGCTTAACAGCTGGAGACAGGGAGTGATGGTGCAGGGTTGTTTTTCAGACCGGAGGCCTGTGGCCAACAGTGTTCTACTGGGACACTGTTTTCTGATGAAGGATCTAGGCCCAAAACGTCAGCCTTCCTGCTCCTATGATGCTGCTTGGCCTGCTGTGTTCATCCAGCTCTACACCTTGTTATCTCAGTGTTCCACGGGGATTGGTGCTGGGTCCTCTTTTGTTACTGATATCAATGATTTAGATGAGAATATCGAAGGCATGGTTAGTAAGTTTGCGGATGACAACAGGGTTGGTGGTATGGTGGACAGTGAAGAAGTTTATCTAAGATTACGAAGATGTTGACCAATTGGGTCAATGGGCTAAAGAGTGACAAATGGAGTTTAATCTGGGTAAATGCGAGGTATTGCATTTTGGTCAAACAAACAAGGATGGGACTTATACAATTAAAAGCTGCGTCTTGGGGAGTGTTGTACAGAGACCTGGGTGTTCATGCACATAATTCTTTGAAATTTGCGTCAAATGCAGACGCAGTGGTTAAGAAGACCTTCATTGTTCAGACCTTTGAGTACAGGAGTTGGAGCTTCATGTTGAGGTTGTACAGGATGTTGGTGAGGCCTCTTCTGGAGCACTGTGTCCAGTTCTGGTCGCACAGTTATAGGAATGATATTATTAAGCTGGAGGGGGTCAGAAAAGATTTACCAGGATGTTGCTGGGAATGGGGGGCTTGAGTTATAAGGAGAGGCTGGATAGGCTGGGATTTTTTCCACTGGGACGTAAGAGGTTGAGAGGTGACCTTATAGAGGTTTATAAAATCATGCGGGGCATAGATAGGGTGAAAGACAGGTGCCTTTCCCCTAGGATGGGGGATCTCCAGACTAGGGGGATTATGTTTAAGGTGAGAGGAGAAAGTTTTAAAAAGGACATGAGGGGCAACTTTTTTTTTAATGTTCATGTGTGGAACGAACTTTCAGAGGAAGTGGTGGATGTGGGTACAGTTACAACGTTTAAAAGATATTTGGATGAGTACGTGAATAGGGAAAGGTTTGGAGGGATATGGGCCAAACGAAGGCAGGTGTGATTACGGTCAGCATGAACAGGTTGGACCAAAGGGTCTGTTTGACTCCATGCTGTCCTTACCTGATCTGGCTTAATTGTGGCTACAGACTCACAGCAATGCAGTTGACTCTGGAAAGGCAATAAGTGAATAAATACTGGTCCAGCCAGTGACATTCACAACCCAAAAATGAATTTTTTGTTTTAAATGTCAAAAATCAGTCACAGCAACTTTGAAAAGATAATGGCGCTGCCTCAGTTTGGTATGGAACAAGATTACAATATCATTTCTGTCCCCATAATAGAATCACAATAGAGTCACACAGCATGGAAACAGACCCTTCGGTCCAACTCGTCCATGCTGACCAGATATCCTAAATTTGCCCATGTACCTCATTAGTTCACCTCCACAATCCCGACCTCAGAAATATCACATTCCCAACTGTTACTGGGAATGCTTCTGGAAATGCTTTGTTCCAACCAGTCCATGCCAAACTAAACTAGTCCCACCTGCCTGCTCCTGGCCCATATCCCTCCCAACCTTTCCCTATTCATGTCCTTATCTAAATGTCTTTTAAACGTTGTAACTGTACCCACATTCACCACTTCCTCAGGAAGTTCATTCCACATGCAATCCACCCTCTGTGTAGAAAAAAAATAGCCCCTTGTGTCTTTATAAAAATCTCACTCCTCTCACCTTAAAAATGTGGCTCTTGGTCTTGAAATCCCCCATGTTAAGGAAAAGACACCTCCCATTAACTTTATCTATAACCCTCATTATTTTATAAACTTCTATCAGGTTGCCTGTCAACCTCCCATGCTCCAGTGAAAAAAGTCCCAGCCTATCGAGTCCTTCTTTATAAGAAACCTTCCATATCCAGCAACATCCTGGTAAATCTCTTCTGAACCCTCTCCATAATAATAATATCCTTCCTATAACAGGCCGACCAGAACTGGACACAGTGCTCCAGAAGAGGCCTCACCAATGTCCTGTACAAACTCAACATGACTTCTTTTTTCAGAAGTGAAGTTAAGAAATGAACACAAGATCTAAAATTCTTCTGCACCCCAAGAGTGGTTCGGAGATCTCTCCCACGAAACAGCAAATGTCACTGTGTTCATTGAAACTTCTAGGCCTGCAGAAAGCTCTCATGTGTGTAAGTTGTGTGTAAGTGTGTAAGTTGTGTGTAAGTGTGTAAGTTGGAGTCCTCATCTGGAACTCAGTGGCCGGTCACTGGGTGAGGCCAACATTGACCTGGCACTCGATGCCCTCAAACTTGGCACACCCCTGCTAGTCCCCAATGTGCTGATGATATACCGGAGAGAGAACACAGGCTGCGAGCAGAAGGCAGGATGGCGATAACACAGAGAGCGAGCAGGAGTCTGCTTGCATACTTACTACCGTGACCAGTCTCAACACTCCAGATATTGACCAGCACCCCCTCTTGCGGTCCCGAGGTCCCACCAATATACATCTGAGTGAGGAACGTTGCGTTAGAGGGAATTGCGATGGGCTGGAATGGAGTGTGGAGATCAGACTTCACACAGGTCCTGCTGTGAGGGTAGAACTGGTACTGGATGGACTGCAAGCAGAGGGAAAATAAAAAGACAGAGATCAGTTTTCGTCGGTCGTGTTACAGATAATTTGCATCACCGGGACGCGTGTTATAGCAGAACCTCCTTGTGTTTAAATCCCGCAGCCTGAAACATCAGCAGCGAGTGGTTTTCTCCTGTGCTGGGTGGACCCATGATCCACCCAAGTACAGAAACGATCCCTTTGAAGGTCAACATTATGAAGACAGGGTATCGGAGTGGTTGAAGGCAGGCACGTGGCCCTTGAAAACCCACCTCCTGAAATAGCAGGAACTCCATCATTTCCAGTTTCGTGCCATTTGGAAAGAATTTTGTTTTGAAGGCGAAAATCCTCTTTTGAACAGCATCGTAAGAGAATTTCTCCCAACTCACAAATGCGCTTTCGTAGAACTGTAAAACAAGATTGGCAGCAGTGCATTTATGTTCATGCGGACAGATTTGGAACAGGTCATTCAGCCCTTGGCCCTGCTCCTGAGATCTATACAATCATGGCTGACTGACTGTAGGACGTCACATTCCAACCCTGATGACCTTTCACCCCTCTGTGCCTAAACGCCTCAGCCTTAAAAAAATACTCGAGGGCTCTGCTTCTGCCGATTCGTGGAGAAAGTTCCGGTAGCTTTGCAACATTGAGGGAAAATTCCATCGCATTTCTGTTTTAAACGGGCCACCCCGATTCTTAAAACAGCGAGCCTCGTATTTTGGTTTTGGGATCTCACACAAAACAAAACATATTCTCCAAGCCCAGGCTCAGTGGTTAGCGGTGCTGCCTCACGGCGCCAGGGGCCCTGGTTCGATTCCATCCTCGGGCGACTGTCTGTGTAGAGTTTGCACATTCTCCCTGTGTCTGCGTGGGTTTCCTCCGGGTGGTCTGGATTCCTCCCACAGTCCAGGGATGTGCAGGTTAGGGTGGATTGGCCGTGCTAAATTGCCCCA